TTGGCAAACTTAGTCATGCAGTGATACTCAGTTGAATAAAGTGATCCAAACATTAATGGAGATTAAAAAAAAAGTCAGCATGAGCGATGAGATATATTTTTTCAGCTAAACTGATACGTTAACAAGCAAAACTACATCCACTGAAAGAAAAAAAATGCACCTACAATGAGTCACTGGTTAGTATGGCTTTGGGATGGCAGGGTCTTGGGACCGTAATTCTCTGAAAACGTTACCGGTAACGCTATGAACGGTGAATAGATGTTATCGTGGCATGATAAAAAACTTTTAATGGCCTGAGTTAGATGTGATGGTCTTGGAGAATATGTGGTTTCAACGGGACGGTGCCACTCTCCAAACACCACATGAAACAATGGTCCTTTTGCGAACATCTGCGGTCTTATTGAATCACCCTATATTAAACCAGAATTGGCTAACTCATAGACACGTCATAGCTGTGTCGTTGCCCCTCGGTCGAACTCAGCAGGTAATGGCGAGCCTTCGAAAGTAAGTATGTCATAAAAAGCATCTATTATTCCGAGGAGTAAAACTACGGTTCCTTGTGTAAGAGAAGCTTCCGCAGACGAAGCTCTCTCTGCCTATCACTACATAAAACGAAGCTATTCGGTAAAGTAAAGCTTTGACAGTTCGCCAGAAAAACGCGTTTTCAATTGTGTGAGAATCCTATGGCGGCTTGGAAATCAACTGAATAGTGCATATGGACAATGCATAAACATGTACATATTATACATCTCCAAAATATACCAAAAAAAAAAACAACAGTGCGGCACCGAACAGCTTTGAAAGCTGAAAATCGACGTGTGCCACCACCAAATACTACACCAAAGAAACAAGAAAAAAACAAGTCATTAAAATATGATTATTAAAAACATGGAATGAGCCAAAATCTCTCAGCGTTGAGCAAAAATGAAAAGTCACTGCCGCGGAGAAAAGCTAATAATAACAAAAATAAATAAAAAATGAATAGCAAAAACAAAGAGGCTGAGCGATAAAAGCACCTAGGAAAAGAGCAACGGGAGCAGCGCGCGCGCGTTTAACCTGAACGCCCAAATACAGCAGCCGCTCGCGTAGCGTCAAAATCATGGATATAGATAGTGCCTATGCTAGGCGCTTTCCAAGCACCAACATTAAGAAAACTTTACGTATCTCCAAGATCGGAACGACGCGCGGCAGCTGCTGGCCCACACACACACACACAGGCGCGCGCGCATTCACAAAGGTGAATTGAAATAGCGGCCGGTGAGCATGGAAAGGGGGCGCTTGCAGAGGCGTTGCGCAGCAATGAGATGATTGAGGTTGTCTACAGCAGCCGAAGCTAGCAGCGGCAATGGTTGCAGTTTCTATGGAGAGACGGTGGAAAAAGCGAGCGCAAATACAAATACGGATTTTATAAAATAAAATAAATTGCGGTGCGAAAAAGCGCCGTTACCTTCTAGCACATGTGGTTTTTGCTATTGACTTTGCCTATTTTTTCATCGATACATGTGTATGTATTTATTCATTTTTTTTTTAAGCAACTGACTCCGCTACTAGCTAGATCAGCAGCCGCCGCGACGAGCAACGACGTTAAAAGCTGGTTGGTTGCGCAGGGTACAGCGGCGCGGCATGAAGATACACTGAGTCAGTCAGCAGTGATCAGCGAACGGCGAGTACACCCAAGTGAACTCAGTGGCGGCGGTGGCAGCGACAACGACAGCTATTAGGCAACTCACCGTACTATCGACGCTTTGTCACGATACTTTTAAGAAGTGTAAAAGAAAAATACGCGTGTGATTTGAAAGTGAATACGTTAGTTAAAACACGCGGCGTGGTGGCGCGAGCATCAAAGCGATTTATCTAAAAAAAAAAACGAGTTTTCAGTTGAATTTCTTTTCTTCGTAATTTGCTGATTTTTCACAATTTGCATGCAATTGCGCGCATTACTTGTAGATAATATTCATTGTTTGTTTATTTGTTCATTTTCGCGTTCAAGTGTCTGTCAAAGGCGATAATACACGGGTGACGCGCGCAACACCCTGCAGTTAACCAGAGCGCCTCATTGCAAATGTGAGCGCTCGCCCATATGTTTTGTGTTGTTTTTGCTTTCATTTAATAGTGGCGAATAAGTGAAAAATATTACACGCCAATGATATTAAAACCCCATTGGGAGCGCATAAATATTTACACAAGAAAAAAGTCACGCAAGCAAGAAAAAGCAAACGGAAAGCGGTGTGAAGTTGAGGTGCTTTTTTTTATGTACCGGAGCACAAAAAAGTACCAACATATCTCTACAGATTACGTTGCAGTTCATAGCTGTCGGTACAAAGAAAGAAACGCTGTTAGAAAATCTCGGCTGTGAGTGTGGAAAAAAAGTTGATGCCACTGTGACAAAAAAAAAACACAAATCGCAGCGTAAATCACACTCATACATATATATGTTTGCAGGCATGTGTTGCATATAATATACTGCATAAAAAAATAAATACACAAAAGCAGAATTAATAAAAACACTACGGCGCGTTCCAGGAAGTGCTGACAAACACAAATAAATGCATAGGTAACGGTAGTAAAACTAAAAGATTCAAATAAACAAGTTTGTTATTTAAGGATATATATATTTTATCGAAATAACTATCGATAAATGTATTGATATAATTATAGTTATCGATACTTCTCTGTTTATTATTTATGATCAAACACAAGAAATATCGAACAAATTCTGTATAAATATTACTCAATTGAAGTATGTAGAGATCTAGGCAGATAGTCCAGTTCCTCTTAAGTATACTAGTGAAGTGTTACATATGGCAAGTTCTTTATTCTTTGTTCATCGAGTGTGAGGTATAGAGAAGTCAACATTCTTCAGTTACTCGGATTAATGTCCCTCGTTTGTGAGCTCTAGCCTCATCCAGAAGACGAACAACTCTTCATGGCTTGCGCTCAATTCACAAAGTTGTTACTCAGATCCTTTCTATTCGCTCCCTTTTCTCTCCCTTTTTGCTTTCTGGCTTTCTAACATCCCTGATTTGAAGATGTAGAGCTCTAAAACATTGGCCAAAATCGATAAATAAGTAGTCAGTTTGACGCTCTTAGCTTCTGGGATGTAGTCTCAATATTGAGTACAGATTCCAGCTACGTCATAGAAGCGGAGGACTGCGCTAATTAGATACATATGAACAAGTCAAAGGTTTCGTAATATTTTTGAGACAAAAATATATTTCCTTTGTATGTTAAATGAAATTTCAACCTAACTGCGATTCTGTGTACCAGAATCTGTGATCAGCTAAAGGTTTTTAGGTTAGACTAGACGGTTTCTTACAAAAGAAGGGGTCTACGTAGAATGTTTTAAGAAGTATTTTTTTTCGGAATTTCCATAACAGAACAGTTGCCGATTAGTGAAAATTAAAGTCGCATTCGCCACCGGCGAAAATATAGAGAAGAAACAGACTCGAAAGATCAAATGGTGGAGTTTTAAGTGTGTCCAAGCGGAACAATAGACAATGTCTTCCAGGCATGTATTTTTCATATTATAAATCTGTCCTCAACGAGTAAGCCTCGACTGTTTTTCTTTATTTTTCCCTTACAGGCTGAAATTTTTGTCTTTAAAATATTCCACTTTTACGCGCACGGCTTGCATGGAATACCCCACAGTTACATGAGTATGTATATTTTTACTTATACTTACTTAAATACACATACACTAGGCGACAAATGAAAGTGTACACCTTGTTCTAATATAATATTCACAATTATTTTAATGAAAATTTGTTTCCATTAATTACACAGTGATACGAAAGTAAACAAAAAAAATATGCAGGGGTTCTCATATAGAAATTATGTTTTGTTATAGCTCATAGCACACGACTACATTTATTGTTTTTCTCCATCACTTCGTTTATTAGTTTTTTACTAACAAATATAATAAATCTTTGGTATTCTTCAAGTTACAACGTCAAGAAGTTATAAATTTGTTGTTTTTGATTTGAATTTAAAATTGTTTTCTCTGTTTGAAAGACATGCCTTTTACCTTTCTAACAAAGAAAAGTTTGAAAATCGGCTGGATAAGGGCTTAGTATTGGTCTTATAATTGAAAATAATGTAGATTTTTCAAAACACTTTCATTTTCTTCACGCTCTTATTTGATCGTGAGGCAATACAAAAAAAAAAATATTTGTTATTTATTTATATAAAAGTACATAAAATCAGTTTTCCATAAGTCATAAGCATATTAAAATCTAATAAAAATTGGGTTAGTAATGATTTATTTAGTGATAATAAGTATATCTGTGTTTTCCTTTTTTCTTAGAAATGTTTTAAAAACCAAAAAAAAAAAAAATATGTTAGTAAAAAGCTAATAACCGAAGTAATGGATTAAAACTATAAGTGTAGTCGTGCCTATGGGCTAGAACAAAACATAATTTCTATATGAGAACCCCTTCATATTTTTTGTGTAGCACAGTGTCATTTATGAATATTTATATAATTCTAAAATGTAAAGCCTATAAATCAAAATTTCACACTTTACATAAAGTTCACAAAAATTTTCATCAAAACTTTTTTTTTTCAGAATTTCAAAAAAATTATCGAGTATGCAGTTTTGTAGCCCATTCAATTTTAGTCTAATGAAGTGCAAGTTTCAAACGGCTACAAAATCCCGTTGGTCTTTGAGAATTTTGTTGGTGATGGGCTACAAAACTGGATACTCGAAAATTTTCTAGAGATTCTGAAAAAAATTTAAAATTTTGTTGAAAATTTTATTATATAAAGTGCCAAACTTTGATTTACATGGTTTATATTATATATATTATTATATATTTCCGTAAATATTTAATGCAAAATATGTTTAATGTAAATAGTTGTGAATATTATATTAGAACAAGGTGTACACTTTCATTTGTCGCCTAGTGTACATACATACATATGTACATGCAAGCGTACTGCATGCATCCATGCAATTTGTGGAGTCATATATATTTGTTGCTGTGTGTGTGTTTGTTGTTTGTGTGGGTGGTTCGACATTTTTACGTATTGTGGAGGCTGATGTATCAAAAACACCAACACTAGCAGTGCATAGTGCACTACTACGCTGCTTTATCACATGTCGAGCGGAAAGTTGGCAAGCGCACACACATGGACCAGCAACAATTGCTATGTAAATTGGCCCATTGATGATGCGAGAGTGCCGGTAACACAACAAAAAATAAAAGTAAAAACTAAAAAAGAGGTGAAAACCAGTGGGGAAAAATTAAGAGTGAAGCCCAGAGAAAAAAAAAACGAATTTAATTTCGAAAACAGTAAATATCAACAGTGAAAGGTATGCAATACTTAGTCACATGTTTTTCACACACAAAATATGGGCTATGAATTGCAATGTATAATTACCGAAGTTCAAAAAGCAACATCATGAAGCTTTAATCCAAATGATAACGAAACCCAGTTCTTTTACTGGCAACTCCAGTAAGTTGAGCAAAATATTGAGGAAAAAGTGTTGAATAAACAAAGAAGTGGAAAACAAAATGCAAGATAATTATACATAAATATGTAAGTATGTATGTTGCTGAAAAAATAAACACGACGAAAAAGTAGCTAAGCGCCAATGAAAGTAAAAATAGTCGCAGTTAAGAAGCAAACAACGAAAAATCGAAGCGAAAGATTCACAAAACCAGAAAACTAAAAACACAAAGAGAGCTCAAAAAGGCAAAAACTTGTATTATTTAGCATACAAATAAATGCAGAGCAGCAGTAAATTTTAACGACCGAGATTATTTGAAAATCAAAGCGATCTGCTATAGCAATGATTTCTCATTTTCGTGAAGCAAACGTACACAATTATATACATACATACTTTTTTAATTATATTTTTAATACATTTATTTCAACGTGGCGTCCATACTTCGCGTATCTCTTCGATCGCTTTTCTTTTTTTTTGTTTGTTTCTCGTTAGTAATTTAGTTAAATTGTACGCAATGCTAATTTCACCTTTCTTGATTAACGATATAACCGCCTAGCCTATTTTAAACCAGTTAATTTTTGTGACCAAAAGTTATTTAAAAAAAGTACATATTTAAATAAAGGAAAAGTGCACAAAAATTTGTATGAAAACTCCATTGATATGATCGATTTTTAAGGTTGATTCCAGCTCAATTCTTGCTTCCTTCTTTTTTTTATTCTGCATTATTTAAAATAATAGACCAAATGAAATTCTTACACCAAGCATACATACACTCAATAAGACACTTAAGTTTCTTCATCAAAACTTAAAGCTTCTGAAGATATGTAAACATATTTTTAAACGGGGTTGCCACCTTTCTAAAAAAGTAGAACAATGATTATTAAAAATCTAAGCTTATTTAATACCAGTATATTGGTATCACACGAGAGGTGTACGCGTAAGCTTTGGACTAAATAGCGTTGCCACCCATCTGTTAACTAGGTAATTATGTAAGTTAAGTGTAAAGATGCAATACGCATTTTTGCAAAATTTTTTAGATAGGTGCCAACTCTATCCAGAAATATGTACCGATTAAAGCTTTATTTAAACACCTTTTGTTTGAAACTCATATTTTAGTTAACCGCATGTAGCAAAATTAAAAAAAAAAATTAGGTTTGTATTGTAATTCTCCAGTAAAACATTGCAGCGAGAGCGTAAAAGCAAAATAGAGCGTAAAATTGAGAAGAGAAAACTAGCAGAAAAAGTTATTGAACACAAAACTAGTAAAAACTTGCAAGTGAATAGTTGCACCGTTTTGATATTCTGCTGTAAACATTTTACTATTTATAAATCAGTTTTAAACTCTTTGCTTTATTGATTTCCACTCATTTTACTTTTGTTTGTGCTAAAGCAATTCAACAAATGACGGCTTTTGACATTTATTCTTCTTCTTCTTCTGCTAGCTAATTTCTGCTAGTAAAAATTTCACTAGCAAGAATTTTCAGCTCTCCCATGTCGTTACGCTCTCGATTCAGTGCTCTCTTGCAAATTTTTTGGGTTATCATCAGCGTTGCCATTTTAGCCGTTTTCCGGCTAGATTTAGCCGGTTTTGATAGCAACTAGCCGGAGAAAATTCGATCTAGCCGGCAGCCGATTTGTTAGCCGGTCTGTAAAAAAAAGTTAGCCGTTTTTAGCCGATTTTACTATTTGCCTAATTTTCAGGTGCAAAAAGTAAACAAGTTGTTCGAAAGCAATAATGCAGACCCAATGAAGATTTTTAATGAACTCAATGTTTTACTTTCGCATCTATGCTCCCTAGTGGTTATTAGCGCGGACACATTTGATCCTATATGCTCCCCGTTGGAACCATACCTTGCTCCATTTCGTCAGTTTTATCACAGTTTTGAAGAGTATTTAAAAACAAAAGTAAGCACAAACGCTTTTGACCACGAAGCCGAGAAAATAATTCGAGAAAATGGTCGCTATTTTATTATCACTTTAATAAAGGAATTACGCCAAATATTGCCACACTAAAAAAAATTGACTTTTTTCGGTTGGAAATGCATTAAGAGTAATTAAACCAAAAGTATTTGTTCAACTACAGCAACAAAAACAAATATAATGCCGACGAAATAACATCCATAGAGATGCAATGGCAACGGTTAACGTTACATACCTGGAGTAATTTAGACTCAACTGTAAAATTTTGGGCCGAAGTTTATCAATTTCGAAATGCCCTAGGAGAAAACCCTTTTGCTGACCTTTCCAACCTAGTTTTTAGTTTTCTTGTTTTGCCTATAAGTAATGCAGAAGTAGAGCGAATATTTAGTTCAATGAATACAATAAAAACTAAGCAAAGAAATCCAATGTGCGTTAAAACGTTAAACGCTATTTTATACATATATAAGATACGGTTTAAAACTTGAAGAAAAATACTGCCATAATTTTACTGTAGATGACGATCTCTTAAAATTAATGAATTCAGGTGATATATACAATAGTGATTCATTTGATGATGAGGAACATACACTCGATATAAATTAATGGTGTTAACTAGTCTTTCGTTTCTTGCGATTTATTTAAATAAAGCATGTGAATTTTCACTAAAACATTTTAGCCGTTTTTAGCCGTTTTTTTTTTGCCAATCTAACCGGTCGGCCCAAAAAGTTCTGGCAACACTGGTTATCATACACTTTTCCAGTAAAAATTTGCAGGTTCCAGTCCAAATTAGTACAGACTATTGGTTACTATACAAACCTATTATTATAGATAAATGGCAACCCTATCCAAAAAATTTTTTTTTTCAAAACCTTTGCTGGGTGTGCATAAACCTTATATTTTAAAGCACTATATCTTTTAATAAAATGAAACAATATCACTTAAAAAAAAATAATTTTTTTCAACGGGAAAAAAGAGTAACGTCCGTAACGTAACGTCCCGAACGCACATATACAATTGTTTTAAGGTTAATCCAACCTGTAGTTTGCTTTTATATCACATTTTGTAAACTTCATTATTTTCTCTTCAAAATACTTTTGTAGATTGTGCTCTCCATGCATGAAAATTTGCGCAAATCGGTTGACTTTGATGGTCATATCAAAAGCGCTTCCTTTTTCAGTAACGTCCGAACATAAATTTCGAAGGCGAATTCACCGACATCAACTCAAATTCACATTTCCATTAATTTGTTCTCATAAGTACTGCTATAAACCCTCGCTTATACCACAACAAATTTGTAACTTATAATAAGATAGGATTTGCCCATATGATGTAAATACACTTATTAATAATAGCATCATTCACAGAGCGAACGCTCATATCAATAGTAGTAGTTATGCTAAGAAAAGTAACCCGAATTAAAAAACTATAACAAAATATAGCTACGTGAAATATGCGCTACCGGAATTTCTACAGAAATCCACAGCTTAATAGCTGAATTGAACCTCTTAGATTTGCAGTAACGAGAAATGGTAAAAAATTTTCATAATAAAATGTTCCGATTACAAAATGAGCGGTTAATATGCAGAATAGACCTTTACCTCTTGCGGTAAAGCTTTGCCATTTGTTCTTCCAAGCAAATTCGTGGCATTTTATATCCGTTTCCTCTAATTTCGATCCACCGTGCGCTTGTAATTTGATTATCCAAAGCTAACATTTCAACTTTGTTCGCCAGCATTTGCTTTTTTCACAAGCCTTATTAAAGTAATGTTTGTTGTTGCTGTTTCATGCACATTCGCTGACGAATAAGTACGTATTGTCACCAAAATATAATACTGCTTTGCAAATTTTACTTTTCCATTGTTTAAATTGGCATAGCACTAAATTTTCGCAAATTCCCTGCTATCTACATGGTCTGTCATCCATCTGGCTATCAAACATGAAAATACATACATATGGAGCTCATTCGTTATACATATGTATAATCCTAACGCATCTATATATATATTATACGCGAAGGCATTTTTTCATATTAAACTGGTTTTATTTTTTGGAAAAGAGTTGCCACCTGTTGAACAATTAGATTCCAAATATTTAATAATCACTGCCCTCATATCTGCACCGTTCGTTCGATTTTCCAAAATGAGGTGTCAAATTAAAAGGCTTGGACTGTAGTTGTGCAATATGGTTTTAATTTTTTTTAACCTTTTAAAAAGTTATATTCAAACAAGTAAGAAAGTCAGATATAAAAATACTGTAGTTAAACAAAAGAATGTTAAGAAGTCCTTAGTTTGACCATTTGGAATTTTCGAAGAAGAGGGTTGAAACGTGTTTAAATTCAAATTATACATTTATATAGGAGGGTTGCCATTTGTTCATCAGTTTATTGAAATACATGTGTATCACAATGTCAGACGAAAGACATTTAAGAAGATCTTAGTTTAGAAATACTTTTGAAAAGGAGTTTCACGGCTCACGATTGCATTTTGGTATCGAGAAAGATTTGCCAAAAATTCATTCGCTGTGTGAACAGCCAAAAAGCGTTTTCAGACATTTCGCCTTTCGGAAGCAAAGAACCTCTTTCGAAAGACCTTTTACATGCAAAGTTTGACTGCATGACTGCTTTATGAAATATGTATATTGCATTGCCACGTCTGACACGCTCTTTACATAAATATATGTATGTACATGTGTATGCTCATTGTCAGTTTAATTTCTATTTTTTATAAAGCTCCTTTCATGAAAACTGAGAAAATTAGGAATACAATTCTCAAAGAGAGCATGGATCCAGTTTTAATTGCAAATATTTTCATGAGAGCTGCCCCAAATAGAAATAAAAGCATTATTATTGGTTTTAATTCTCATCTAAATAACGAATACCGTTGAAAATATTTCAGTTGAAACGGCCCTAATTTTCACCACTTTCATTTATTTAAGATACAAAAATATTGAAAAAATCTAGTCTATTGGAACCACCCTAATGTTGACGTATTTTGCCACCACTTGATTTTCATTGAATTTTTACATCACGAGTAAAAAAAGATACATATATGTATATTAGGGATGTTAATTTTTTTGATTTTCGGGACATCGTTCATACAATCCCGGGATCTAGGGATTAGTCCCAGAATTTACATGCAGAAATTTCATCAATATAGTTTGAGAAGCTGTCCTACCATATAGTAAATAATAAATAATAAATAAATGGGTTTGGACTCTACTTTATTATTTAAGTTGAAAAATATTTCATTAGTAAAATAACAAAAGACAGCAATTAAATTTATACGCATTTACTATAGCGTTTACATATCTGATAAAGTAACTTAAGGCATGTCGAAAAAAGCTCGATGCAAAAAACCGTCTTTAAAAGAGTCATAACTCAAAATAATACGTTTGTCAGAAAATGCGAAAAACTATTTCTTAGCACATGGTAATCATATGGGCGAGGGCGAATTTACCTTAGTTTTTTTTTAACAAATTATAACAAAAATTTTCTCCAGATTTTGCTGAAAGGTAAATAAAAGCTCTCCGTACATTTTTAACGAATAATCTCGAAAATGCCAAATTTTGAGTTGTATTGTGTGGCTGAAAGGAGTTTATTACACTAGTGGCAAAAATAAAAGAACGCCTTATTTCAACCAGTTTAGTCTATATTTCATTTCTGTATTTAATATTTAAATTTTTTTTATAAAAGTCTACCTCATTTTATATATAATTAACTGCATTTAAATACGCATTTCAAAATTTGTACAAAAATTATAAAAACGCAAAAAAATTGTCAAAATTTCAAATTTTTACTCAGCATTTTTAGAAGAATTTGAGGAACGCAGTTTTATAACCCATTAAATTAAAGTACGATAAAATGCAAGTTTCATGCAGTTAAAAAATACCGTTAAACGATGCTGGGCATTTTCTTCCACATAAAAAATTGTCAAACATACTTTGTTGGCAGAAAATGTGTGACACCGCCAGCTAAAGAAATTATAAACAAGTAATTTTTAGCAAAAAAAAACCGACTTAAAAAATATATATATATATCTATATATTTCATGATCCAATGATCGGATCTAAACCAAATTAGTATGGGACCATCTCTGAGACACTACCTTTCCGCAAAAAGAATTATTGAAATCGGTTGACGTGGTGCAAAGTTATGCGGTAACATACATAAAAAAAAAAAAAAAATATTCCGACGAACTGATAACCTCCTCCTTTTTTGGAAGTCGGTTAAAAATCAACGTTACTTTTAGTCACTTGCAACTTACACTTTATCCTCCTGTAATTTAATGGGCTATACCTATAAAATTACGTACCTAAAATTTTTCTAAAAATTCTGAGTAAACAGATTGAAACAGTTTGAAACAAAAAAAATTTCAAAACACACCAAGCAATCAATATACTCACGACACTATGGGCCAAATATAGTAAAACTGCGTTTTTAGTTTTAGAATTTTTTTATTAGAACTTTGTAATTTCAACGATATGATAAATTCTAAAAAATTATTTAAAAAATTCAGTGTTATGTAGAATAAAAATTGGTACCAACTGAAAGAGAAACTTCTTTAGGATTTAAAAAAATTAAAATTTTTTGGGTTCACCACGGACGAACAGGTATTGAAATGCCCGTTTAATCAATTTTATTTTTTTAAGCTAATAAAGTTAGAAGGACTATATTCGAGGACGTTATCGAGTTTATATTAGTTCTTAACATATAATTTTTTCAAAATAAATATTGCAAAATTTAAAGGATATTCAAGGATAAAATTCTTAAGGACATTTTCAATACCTTATGCACCAAAAAATTTTATCTGTTCTTTCTATTAAATAAACAAAAGAAATATAGCGAAAACTTGTCAACATAAAGCATTATATTATTGCCACCATTGCAAATTACAAATCCCGAAAATCCCGGAATTTTTGGAAAATATGTAATCCCGGGATGCAAACAGAATCCAAAAGAAAAAAAGCACACCTAATTTATAGTTGCCTTTTCTTAGCATGCCACAAATCATTATTGGCGCGTCGATATTTCACTGCAATTAACAGCGGCATTTTAGGAAAGCCAGTACCCAGTATAAAATTTTTTTATCTCTAACGTATTAATCATAGTTTTTAATAACCAACTAACTTGACTCTCTCTCTCTCTCTCAATCATTGCCAACGATTATTATTACTTTATTATATTAATTCTCGCTACATACATGTTTATTTAATTTAGTGCTGCACATTTCATATAAAAAATGCAAAATTTTATTTAAGAAAAAAATACAAAATAATCCACTTCAGTGTATTTATGCTCTTGCTTGGTTTGGATAAACCAAATTAAAAACTTGCAGGATCATATTTACGTATGTATTTCGCAACCCCCTACTTAAAAAAAGAAAACGATCCGATTAAAATATTTCACATCATTCAGTTCTACTAACATCTTCAACCCTCCAAACCTTCTTCCGTCAACTACCCATCAATCGTCTTCATCGCAGAAGCAGCCATCATTCGAGTTCTCCATTATCCAGTCCAAGTACTTCGTAACGCGCGTATAAACGCCCGGATAGTTGGGTCTAGCGCAACCATTGCCCCACGATACTATACCAATCTGTTCGAAACGCTTATCATCGGGGCGCATGCGCACCAGCGGCCCACCCGAATCGCCTTGGCAGGAGTCACGCTCACCCACGCCCGGATAGCCGGCGCACATCATATTCTTAGTAATCATCTTTTGTGTGTAATTCGTTTGCGCTACACAGTGTTCATTATCCAACACTGGAACTTCTACCTCCTGCAGCAAACAAGACGGTTTGCCATCCTCCTTCAGCGTACCCCAACCGGTCGCCATGCCTTTGGTGCCAATGAACAGATCATTGCGTTCAAAAGCGCGTGGCAAGCAGATTGGTCGTATGAAACTTGTGATGGGCACACGATCATTGAGGCGCAACAAAGCGATATCATTATCGAAATTGGAGAAGCTGAATTTCTGACTGAAGGCGCGTAACACAAAACGTGTTTCGGGTCGTTCCTTGTCATTGCAGCGATCGTGTTCACCAAATGTTACTTTTATCATGAACCACATGAAACCTTTGACGCAATGCGCAGCGGTGAGTACGTAGCGATCGTTGATCAGCGTGCCGCCACAGTAGAAGCGATTGAAGTAGCTGAGCCGTGCCATCCATGGGTATTCGCTGACGCCGGCTGTCTGGCCGCCCACGATACGCGATTCATCGTTGCGCTCGCCGCATCTGAAAGAAGAGAGTAGAGAGAAATGAACGAGATTAAAAAATTGAGCTGCTGAAAATTTAAATGAATCGTTGCAGATATAAAAACTAGCTAAAGCTACATATTAGTAATTTATAAAGAACAATTTATCCCAAAGAGCTCCTGAGGCTAACAAATTAGCCAAATATGAAGCTTAAAGTAAAAGAAGTAATTTTTTCTATTAGGGGTGTTTTCACAATATCCGCCTACCTTCTGGTGGAGGTATAAATTTATAGGCTTCTCTCGGACAGTTTCAAGACGTATACCTTCTCAGAAAGTCTGTCTTGCTGTAATATAATCATAACGGCCTGTACCCAGTGTTCTTTTTGGGACCCCAATTGGGTTCAGTTTTGAAAGACTGCAGCTCATATCCTCTCAGCTCCCAGTTTGTCCTTCTACAAGGCTAATCGGGGGTGCATATTTGGTATCTCTGGATTATAGATTAGACTCTGGTCCAATCATCTCGGTATCACCTCTGATAAAAGGCTGAGTTGGAACAAAATTATTTGTAAAGCCGCTTGCGGGCTAGTAGAGACGATGAGACCATAAAGTGACCATGATCGTCTGCCCGATTGTTGCTTCCATCTCCATAGGTTGCCCTTGCTCTCGGTCACAGGATCAATGAGAAACTTTTCAGCAGCAGCTCCAGAGTCGCTGTTGAAATGGACTCCGCTTAATATTTTTGTTCAAAAAGTAATTTTTTGTTCAAAAAGTAATTTTTATTTTGTCTTTTTAGACAGCTAAGTATACAGCGGAGCTCCGCTCTGTAAATATGATCACATCCAAGCTGGTCAAAGAGTGTTTTGACTCTCTTCAACCACCAAACCAAACTCACCAAACCACTGCGGTATCCCAGGGATGCCAACTCATTTTATCTCTCTCACCGATGACCACCGCGAAATTTCCCGAGTTTCGATGAAATTCCCCGTACTGTCATGTAACCTCTTTTTAAATTACAACATTTCATTAATCTATTGGAAAATATTAAAAAAATAAAAAGACGTTGTAATTTTTGTCTATGGAAACTTTTATTTCATACATAATTACTTTACAGCAGTCACAAGGGCGTGTCCCACCAGTCACAAATTTAAATATTTTTTAATATTTCTATGAAGATTACATAAACCTAGTATCTATTGAAAAAGAAAGCGCATAATCGATATTTTACAACGCAAAAACATCTTTATTGAAAATTACGTGTTTTGGCTAAAATTCGTATTCGACTGCACAATGATAAAATAGAGTTATTTTCAATATTCCACCAGTCAAATTCATTCAAATGATAGTTCCATAGAAATAAGAAATCGTTTGGTATTTTTTTAACTTCGTTTAATTTATTTTATTGTTTTTTAATTTTATTTTCAATTCTTATTTAAATGTAATGTTCTTTTATTTTTTAGATTTTGTTTTAAAAATAATGTTTTTTTTTATTTAATAAAATTTTAAGTACTATTTTCTTCCTATTTTGACTTATTTTTTTTCCTTTTCCAATCTAAATTTTAGATTTTATTATTAAAAAATAATATTTTTTTTTGTATCTCAAGTTTTAAAAATATTTTATTTGTCTTTACTTTATTTTCATTTTATATATTTATTTTTTAAAATTAATTTTGTTTTATGTATTAGTTTTTATTGTTTTAAAAAGAAAAAGGTATATATTTTTCAATTTAATTTAATAAAAAAAAAAATGCTAAAAGGCGAACAGCATAACGCTAATACCTCCTCGTTAGCAGATCTTTCAATTAGCTTTAGACAGTAAAGAACTTTCAATACAGTTGCCAGTATTGACAATTGTCTTACGAAAGACTGTGGTGAGTTGAAAGACAGTTGCTTGAATTGCCCAGTTAGTATAGAAAGATTGAAAGAGCTTTGCCCGCGTGCAAGCTGATGCCCACCACCACTCTTTACCAATTCCACTGAGAAGTTATAAAATATTCCGACCAACTGTCGACTAGAGTTATTGAAGATGAAAATTTCCCTAATAATTGCATAGTATCTCCAGCTATGAACATTTTCTCTAGATGCTTAATTAAAAATTTCTCTCAATTTCTACAAATCTTAAGTGAACAATAAAAATTCATTTAATAGCACATAAATAACCGATTAAAGAATGTAAAAAAAATTAAATAATTACCGAAAAGCACTTGTTCTACAAAATTATGTGACTAATAATGCATGTACTTATGTGCGCGGCACGCATCAAAAACAAACCCGACAAGTGTCATATTTATGCCCACAAAGGCATTTATACGCGCACTTAAGTGTGAAATCGGCGGCTAAACCTTGCCAGAGGCCAAAAGCCAGAGTAGCTGACGCGTGCTGCTATATGTTTGTAGCCTACATTTGAACATGATTTTACAGCAACTACATATCTATGGTATACAGCCATTACATAAGGGTGGTCCGGAAATGTATGTGAACAAGTAAAGTCGGAATTTTTATTCTCTCACCCCCTAGGATTGTTCTATACCGAAAAAATATACACCTATTTTTATTTTGAAATCAAAACATATTTAGAGGTCGCCCAAAGTTTTCCTTGTATATTATATGGGAAAAAAACAACTAGATTTTCCCGATCGAAAAATATAGATTTTCGAGATTTCTATACCATTTCTGCGGAAAGTTGTTTTTTTCCCCCATATAAAATACATGGAAATCTACTTTACTTTTTTTTGGACCATCCTACATAATACATACATATGTATAACTACTTATAGTACGAGTATATTAAAACAAAGAGTGTGTTTTATATGCATATTTTCGTTAACAACACTTGAGAGATTTTTCAGAATAGGCAGAAAGTGAATTTAAAGTAGTTAAGTTATTCGTGGTTTTCATTACCGTGCATGGAGTTAGTCGATTTTGTAGATAGGAAAGGTTTTTACCGCCGCTTTGTTATTATTGCTGCTGGCATTTTAACTGAAACTACATCGCGTCTTGCTACAAACAAGCCAATTAGCGCCCCTTGATTATGTGTACATATCAGGCCCGGCTTGGGGGTTCTGGGTTTAAACCCCCCCTGTTGGAGGAAAATATGAATACAAATTTCCATCATTTAGTTTAAGATAATAATGCCAAAAAAATATTTTAAGATCTCAAGTATTTAAGATCTCTTTTCAGACATAGTAGTCGAGAGTTCTAGCTTTAATTTAAGCCAGGAACCTTTTCGAGGGCTTATATTCAATATTCTCTATCTGCACTGTCATCGGTGATATTAATGCTGACCTTGTATAATGCTTGACAGAAGAATTTACTATTAAATTGCAATGCGGGGTAATCACCCTACGAATTACGTAATTCGCAATACAAAAATTTGAGAGCGAATTACCTCATTTGTAGGTAATTCAGACCGAATTACCATGCGAATGACGAACGAAACGGCGCTTTCTCCAATATTTATCGGAAATATATCGAAATTTGACAACCAAAACAAAATAATAAAAAACAAACACGAATTATTGCGAATTATTGCTAAGAACAATTAGTAGAGCTGCGAAACGAATTATGAATGTGTCGTGGAAACAGAGTAATTCACGAATTACTTTGCGAATTACTTAAAGAGTGAGTTACGAATCGTGGAATTGTAATTGTCGTATAGGTCCCAGATCGGTGCTAACATCACAAAGTAGTTTTTGTGAATATTGTAGTTAGAGGGTATTAAGTATAAGACCTCGTTTTGTTTCTTTGCTAGAGCTTCTAAAATATTGCAAAAAATGCCATTTTTTACACTTTGACTTCGTTTTTTCAAAATCTAGAGCTGATGGAAGCTTTATGTCAATGATTCGTAATCAGCACAAACGATTTATCAAAAACAGCTTTAACATATGTACCTAAATAAAAGCCCCCTAAAAAGAAATCCTGCGGCCGGCCCTGGTACATATGTATGTAGTACATATGTATTATGTACGTATCGTACCTTCACAATTGATTTTATTTATTTATTTGCAGCTTCTGACTTCAGCTGAGCCAGTATAGCGCGCTGCTTGCTAGTTCTGCAGTTCTTACACTTTCTTTGCTTTGCATAAATTAATAACAATTTAACGAGTTTGAGAACTTTTCGAAACAGGTTTAAAATTTAAAGTGATCTTATGGCTTAGCTTCTCAAACGAAAACTACAGATAAATGGAATTATAAAAGAGCAGCAAAATCGAGCACTCTTAAGCATTTTGTTAAATGGAAAAAAGTCTGGTGATAAACATTTGACCTTTGTTTAGTTTTGACGTAGAATACGTCTTACGTTTCGATACGGAGGCTATGCTGAAATGTTGAAGTTGTAATTTTTAGAGCTTCACGAAAACGCTTACTGCACGAGAAGTAATGAGCAGATTTCAAAGAAAAGAGTGGCGTTTCAAAGATAAAATTCCACACCTATCGACAGATTAATTTTTTTAAGTAACCAATTCGGTTTCTGTCGTCAAAATAACGGTAAACATTGGCTTATTTTGGGGTCAAGTTTGCTCCTTTAAAGTGCTCCAGCAGCTTATGATTTGCAGATATAACTTTAATTTTCGGGATATAGATTCTTTGGAGCAATGGAAATATTATCATGTACAGATCTTATATAAACTGAACAAATATTGAACATTTTAAGACAAAAACTTGATGAAAAAATTGGATTTTTTTTTTTTTATTACCAAAATGCTCGAAAACCACTCGGACGATTTTGTTTCGGTTTTCTTTAGTCTAAAATTCAAGAGTTTTCCTTTCGTTTGGTATATGATAAGTATTGGTTGATATCTTCTAAGTATGTTTATTTGATTCAAATATATTGGTATAAATGATTTCCCATACAAAATCACTTCGTCATCGTTCTGCAAACACGTGCATGCGTTGGAAGTGAGGGAAGGAGACAAAAAGTATGTATGTGTGCGTAAGTACATATTCCGGCTTTTGGTAAACAGATGGCGCAATATTTACAACATAGTCGTAGCATACATACATACGTACATATGTTGATTAGAATTAATGTGGATCTGTTTCTATT